TATGTGTTTATTCTGCAGTGTAAATAAGAAAAAAAATGTGTATTTGAACTTAAAAAAATTTATTTAAGGGCAGAAGAAACACCCGTAATGTAGTTTCATTTCAGAGCATCTCATTTACTGGATCCACCCTTCTCCATAGAAATATTAATTCTTATGAGCAATGAAAGTTTCCTAAATACTGTGAATTACTTAGTCCCACTATATTTTTTTCTATCTGACATCTATTTATTGAGGAAGCAAGGTAGGTAAATAAGGACATAGAAGCCTGACCAAGTTTTAAAAAGATTTTTTCAAAGTGTGGATAATGTTGGTATTTCAGACTTGCTCCTAGCTGTTTTAAAACCAGGGCCATCTGTGATTTTTATGTCAGGACACAAGAGTGGTATGGCAGGAAGGAGATCAAAAGCAAAGCAGACCCTAGACACAGAATTTGCTTTCCATTCTTTATAGCACAGCTTTCTCACCCTGCACCTACCTCCCTTGAAGTCACACAGGAAACTGGAATTTTACCAGAATTTAGCAAATGGTTGATAGACACCATTGCAACTCTCCCGAGTGGTGGAGAAGTGTTTTACAGACACCTTCTGTCTGAATTTCCAGACAGAAAATACAGTGTGTATTTGTCCTTCTGATGCATCCACTTGGATGAGACTGTGAGAATACCTCTAGAGGGCAAGGAATGAATCACTACATTGTTCCTTCATCCTTCCTCCCAGCCACCTGCAGGACATCACGACATCACTGTTGCAGGCTGGCCAGCACAGATGTGAGCATGTGCCTGGTATTACAGGCTTGGTTTGCATCTGATACCTCCTCAGCAGCAGCACTGGAGGTCTGCAAGATCAGGTGTCTCCCCTCTCTTTGGGACTACAAAACAGTGTCACCAGGCATACGCAGCACATTCAATCCTCCTTGGCACTTTGCTCTCCTTTTATGCTTTCACTGTTCAGTCTTTCCCTTGTTTTCCTTCCCACTTTGTCACATACACTGAAAGCCAGCATTGGTTCTGATAATGAGATGCTAACACTGGGTCCAGGCCAGCCTTGCTCATGTGTGCTTTAACCTGTTTCACACATTTTATAAGCTTTCAATACATTTTCAGTTCTGTGAAAAGAAAGTTCTTTGAGGTTACTGTTGGCTCTGGTAATTCATCAGCATAAGTTTAGCAAGACGGGGACTCTGTGTTTCTCTACCTGGTTAACTCCAGACTCAGTATACTGTTTTTGAAAGCAAATAAATGCTAGCTTCCTAAAATGTCTCTGCAAAAAAATCACAAAGTTAATATAATACATAATCCTTCCCTTTGCATACTTAGTAGAAAGTGAAGGAAAAAAAAAGGCAATTTTGCATGTCTGCATGTCTGTAACTACAGTGTTGGTGCTCTTTTCAATATTAAATATGCAATAAAACCCAACCCTGAACACACTTTCTACAGGTAGTGTTCTGAGTTGCACACCTTACCTGTGTTTCTTTAACTAGTTTATGCTCACAATCTATATAAGAAAACATGCCTCTGCCTCAGGACAACCTGGGTACCTGCGTGAAACAAAACACCACCTTCTTCCACAGAGGAATTTCCATACTGCATATTCCAGCCTCAGCAGATATGGCAAGTTCAGATTCAGAGTTTTGAGGTCAAAGGTCTTCCATATATTTTCATTTGAGGTTTTCAAGCTCCCTCGGGAAATCCATTTTGTGAATATGATAAGTCTGTCTAACACCTAGAGAATAATTCCTTCCCATCTCTGCTAGAGTAAGGACAGTTATTGTATTTGCTGGGAAATGCTCCAACAAAGGCAGGAATGATGAATCTGACTCCATCTTCCCAGAAGGCTAATTTATTATGATATGATATGATATGATGTTTATTATATTATAGAATACTATACTATACTAACTAAAGAATACAGAAAGGATAATTACTAAATGCTAAAAAGATAATAATAAAAACTCGTGACTCTTTCCAGAGTCTCTATACGGCTTGGCCCTAATTGACCAAGTGTCAAAACAACTCCCAGCAGAATCCAATGAAACAATCACCTGTGGGTAAACAATCACCAAACACATTCCAGATGAGCAAAACACAGGAGAAACAAATGAGATAAGAATTTTTTTCCTTTTCTCTGAGGCTTCTCAGCTTCCCAGGAGAAAAATCCTGGGAGAAGGGATTTTATCAGAGAATGTGAGTGCCACAGACAGTGAGATTCTCTGTCTGACCTGCATTGTTATCTACATTAAATCAGTGGAAAAACTAAAGAGCCCTGAAAATGGTGCAGCACATCCATCAAAATTTTCATTTACGTGTTTACCTCTTGGCTGTGCCCCACTCTCTGGGATAAGGCGTACATGTGTTTCTGTGTGCGCACACACACACACATAGCACACAGGCAAAGAAAGAAAACTGTGTTAAGAGCTACTTGAAGTGGAGACACAAGGACCAGAGCACTCAAGGCATCCTAGTCACTGACAGAAGGAATCCTACTGAGTATTCTGTCCCTGCCAGGACCATGGAGAGTCAGATATGCTGAGGGTGGAAGGTGGGAGCTGGAGACCACCACTGCAGAATCGCAGGCAAAAAAAGTGATATGTTCCTGAGGGCACTTGTGCATGGATTATAGGAAAAACTATGAGTCTGTCTTTGTGTCCTAGACCCATCTCACTACATTCATCAGCAGACCCCAGGAGAGTTTGCAGGTTTCAGTTGCAGCAAATGAAGGGAAAAGTGGAAAGAAGTTGGAGAGAAGAGTGGAAAAAGTCTGAAAGTTGCGCATTATACGATTAGCTCAAATAAAGGAAGGCTTGGTTAGAGAAACACAGGAGATAGCACCATCCCCCTCCCCTCAAAAGCCCCCACTAATTCCTCTTCATTGCTCCTCTCCAGTAACAGTCCCTTCAACTTCATTCCCTGTCTCAGACCTTAGCCTGCTCCCTCGAAAAACCCAGTCAATGCCACTACAAAAGAGTTTTACTCCTCCAAAGACAGGGAAAAAGTAAGATATCCTGGCTGCATGGAAACTTACGGTATACTGAAGAGGCTTGGACACTGAGTGGTCTCTGGTTGAGGCCATGAACAGCTGGGATAAGTCCAAGAACTGCCTTGGCATTGGTTTTATTTATTTCAAGGACTAATCTGTCCCTGGCCAGCAGCAACAGAGAGCAAGTGTGATTTACAGCCATCATTTTTATTGTGGCCAAAGATAGGTACTCTGTTCCAAGATGGTTTTCTCTCTTTTTCTTTTTCTTTTTCTTTTTATTTTTATTTTTATTTTTTTTTCTTTTTCTTTTCATTTTTCATTTTTCATTTTTCATTTTTCATTTTTCATTTTTCTTTTTTCCTTTTTTCTTTTTTCTTTTCATTTTCCTTTTTTTCTTTTTTCTTTTCATTTTTCTTATTATTTTCTCCTTTTCCCTTTCCCTTTCTCCTTACTGCAATGCATTTTCTGCCCATGTCCTTTGATGTGGACATCAAACGTCCTGTTCATTTCATCAAGGGTAGGATTTATTGGAGTGTGGCACAGTGAAATCCAGCAGGCTCTCCGTTTAACACGCATGGGCAGGACATTTCATTGTGGGACTAAACTTCTCTCCATCTTTTCTGATTGAACCGTGTCCTACAGCAGCTTCAGTGCAAGAAGCAACTCAGGATGATGTGTATTTTAAAGGACACGGTAGCACCGGGGTGGCAGCGAGACAGGCACCACACCCCCTTCAGTGAGGCTGAAGGCACATCAGCAGCTGTGGTGGGCTGGTTGTCACATCAGATCAGCTAACCATCCTCACTGGGCAAGGAGGGGGTAGCACACAGGATTTTTTTGGTTGGTTTTGCCCTGAGTCACAAAATGCTGTGTTTTTCCTTCACATTTTTTCAAGCAGTTTCCTTTATGTCCTCTTGGGTACCAGACACAGGCATTCATTCAGCATACAATGACTCTTAGGCAGACAAGCATTAGCAGTTTTTGGCAGTAGCCTGTGACTTCACGTAACGCTGAAATTCCCATGACAGGCTAAGCTTCCAGCACATCGACCTGGCAATGACAGTCCCATGTATCCTATGACTTAGGGTGCTGCTCTGTCAGGGCCTTACTGCCATAACCCCAGAAAAAAATACTAGAGAAATTGAGATACCAGCTTTTGCCAAATCATCAACACTATCTTTTCAGACAGAGACAGAAGAGGTAAGAAGCTATTAATAAATTATCCAAGTGACTTCTGGCTTTTCATATCAGATTGCTGCACGCAATGTTTCCTAAGGGCCTTTCAATGGTAACAAGCCATGCACTCCAGTTACTCAGACATGTTTTGGATGCCTCCAACCAAAAAATCCATTCCAATGCACTCCTCATTAGCAATGTGTAGTAAGCATTGAGTGGAGGATTCATTGAGCATGCAAAGGAAAGTTGTGTCATAATCTCTTCTCATGACTAATGGCATTCATTTTCTGTTACAAGAGGGATACTGTTGTGACCCAGAATGCTACACTTTATCAAATATTCTATTTTCTTGTCCAAAGAACTAAAAAACAAGATTATAGTGAGCTTTGATTGGTTATAACTCTGGATTATTTTCCATTTAAGTACATTTTTGAATGTGAAACGGTAAGTAGAGTTAATAGTTGCATGATATCATGTCAGATAACACAAAAAACATTGCAGAAGGAATCTATCAGCAGACCAGATAATTTCTAAAATAAAATAAGATTCTGTTTAAAAAGAAGCTTCTTTCCTATGTTTATTTGATGACATGGCAATCTGCCTGCTGTTATTTCAGGTGTGTAGTCTCCACCAAAGTACCTAAAATTAGCTCCATGCACAGCATATCCCTGGTGGTGTGGTAAGAGAGTGTGCGCAAAGAACAGCAAAACATGAGTGGCTCAGGGGTCATAACAACAGCATGTGGTGACAGATGTGGAAAAATATGATCATCAGGCAAAATACATTTATATCAACATTTCTTGGGATTTCAACAAATCCCAAGTTCTCATGGAACTAGAACATACTTACAAGGCATAGACACCAGATCTTGTGGTAGCTAATGTGTCTCAGTGCTCATGACATTTCATTTCTAGAAGCTGGGTTGCATGTTTGCTTGCAGGATAAAGGCAAGTTGGGAGACATCACAGCACATCCCTACAGCACAAAAAAATGTCGAAAAGAGACAGTCACTGATGAGAAGTTGCATTTCCAACAAGCAGCAACTTGATGTGATATCTAGTTCCCATAGTTTCTTCATTGACAGTTTCTTCATTGACATGCCTGTGTCCTAGTGTAGTCCAAGCACATACTTCCATTTTCCCACACAGATGATTAGGTTCCAGCTTTACAGATATGGCAAGTCTGGTAATGACAAAAGTGGATTTGAGGCAGGAGCAGTTCTGTTAGGACCTCAGTATAGTGACTGCACTGTAAAGCCTTTCAGATATCTGGTTTAAAACCAAAATATTTCTTTCAGAGGGTAGCAGCAGCTGCCACTCTGAAGTCTGTGGTAGTCAGGGTGCCACTGGATGTTGTGCCAGGGCTCTTATCTTCTGACAGCGTTCAGAAAGGAAACATTCTCTCCATGCAAGCAGAGAGTAGATTTCTATCAGAGACAGAAATGGGATTTCCAGACCACTGGCTTAACTTGGCTGGTTTTGAAATCAGTAAGCAAAATTCCCAGTGGCAGCAGAGTTATGTCAGTGAGATCCACTGAAAATGAAAATTACCAATGTCTGTAAGTGCCTGACGCTCCTTTGGACACAAAAAAGTGCCTGCTTAGTTTTTGTCACTGTTTTGCATTGACAGGTTTGCATATTTTCTTTGAGAAACAGCCAGATCCTCACTATTAATGCAAAATACCAGAGGCCAATTACTTCTTACCATTTATAGTTAGCTGGCTTTTTGTAGGTTTATTGAAAAAGTGATCCTGCAGAAAGACCTGTGAAATACAAATGAATATAAATGAAATCCAAAGCCATTTTGTTCACTCTTCACATCTTGCCTGGAAATTTCTGTGTGAAAGTTTTGATAGCCAAAGGCTTAACTGCTGGAACATGATACCTCTCAGAACTGACACACCACAAGAAGAAGAGGTGAGAATTTTTCCCTATTTTTTCCTGTCCTTTGTCCCATATTTTCATTCACTTTCTATTTCATTTATGCTAATGTTTGGGGTTTTATTCTGAGAATTTTTCTTAACATATGAACCTACTCTGCAAAAATTATTTATAAGCTTCAGTGGCCCCAGATTAAGCTGCCAGTCAAACACAGTTTTAGATTCGGAGTTAATATCTTTTGATACAGAAGAAAGGACTTTCCCTTTATTGGATTAGCAGCAAAAAAACTCCCAGTGTCTAGATCATAACTGTGCCCTAGCCATGTCTACCTTAAACCAGTAGAGAAGTTTCTTCTTATATAGAAACATCCATCTCAAGAAGAGAACCTACTGCAAATTCTCATTTACGAAGGAATCTGCTCCATCATTTGAAGCAGTTCTGCATGACATTAGGACAATCCCAAGCCTCAGGTCACTTTGCAATCGACTTCAGGCAGCAAATTGAGAGTGTGCCTGCAGAGAGCCTGCAAAGAGATGTGCAATTCAGCTAATTTTCATGTGTCATGCCTTATAGGAAAGCCGGAAAGATCTTGTGCAGAAAGTCTTGGCTATGATTCTGAGCAGACAGAGGCAGGTCAGCGGGGAAAAAAAAAAAAAAAGCTTTTTTAGTACTCTAACTTTGCAGATTCTACCACATTCCAAATGTTTTCTGACTTTGGATGTTTGTTCATCCTGTCTGTAACACTAATTTGCAGAGCTCTGATAATTTCATTGGTTGGCTTTGGATTTTTTATAATGATGAAAATATAAGTATCAAACTACCCATTTTGCTATGATCAAAGAAAAATGTCATATGTATCAGCAGACATAAAATAGCACTAGCAGAGATTGTTGCTGGAGGATATAGCCCCCATTATTCATATGAAACACAGTGCTGCCACTGATCATTATCCCTAATAGCAGTAATCCTCCCTGAATGGGTTCATTAAAGTGTCCTCAGCATCACTGTGGGCTGTTAATAATCTGGTGGTAGCAGCCTGCCTTGCTATATCTACAGCTTAACCTACACTTATTTCTGCCATTGCCTTTTTTTCCTTCCACATTAATCATCCTCTGAAAACATTTTCAATATTCTCTCTTGCTGCACAGCAGGATAATGCCTTCTAATTGTCATTCTGAGTCTGCTTATTCTGGTCCTCCTGCATAAATATAATTGCAAAATCAGCAGCCACCGATACCCCCGCCCTGCCCATCCTGCTCCATGAGCAATTGCTTTGGTGGTCTCTCCCAGTCCTGCGAAGAGGGAACCACACTCTGCCTTCCAGCCTAGAGACCCTGCCTGCACCTGCCCTCTCTGCCCAGACACCACAGCACATGGTGGCAGGCACCCTGCTTCCTTGGCTGTCCTGAGAGGGTCCCCTTTCAGGGCCCGTCACACTCCAGCTGCTCCTACGGCAGCCCCACGGCAGGAGGAGCGGGACGGGCCTGCATGCTTACGTGCGCTGTGTCTGGAGCCTGCACCCTGATGCATGCTGACGTATCCTGGTGCAGGCTGGGCTTCACTCACATACCATGTTGGGGAAAAAAACCCTAGCATAAAAATGTGACCAGGAACCAGGAAATAATCTCATCCTCTCATGTCTACACAGAACACCAGAACACCACTCACACTGTATAACAGAGCAGAAGTTCACTGTATATCTTTGTTCCATTTCAGCTTTATCTGAATTTTCTGTTTTGCAGAAAGTGTCAATTACTCCAGCCTGCCATGGAAAAAGGTTTAAAAGTCCTCAGTTTTGCAAGTTTCAGTTTCCAGTTTACTTCCCTTTCACCGTGAAGGCTTTTTCCCCAGCAAAAATAAATCTGATAAAAGGCGGAAGTGTGAAAATTTCTGTCAGTAATACTATTAATCCTGCTGTTGAATTCCTGCCATCTCAGATTAGGTGATCAGTTGATGCTCTGCAGAGATGCAGCAGGAAAAATCCTACCACTGATTTTTTTTAATTGCTTTGCTGCTGTTTGGCATTGAATACTGTTAATATCTGGGCATGAAAATATGACTCAATTATGCAAAGAAAATGCATATAATACTCCCTATAACCGTTCTGCTTAAATAGCTTTTTTATTTGTATAGATGAAACAAACTGACAAAAACAATCTTTGAAGTACTATCCTCATAAACAGTAGGATTAAGCATATTTTTCATAAGCAGTGATATTATTTGACAACTTACAGGAAGAGTGGAGTCTTTATTAAAATAATCTCTTGAATTAGACAATATTAAGAGAATTCCTTGCCATGCTGCTTTATTATGAACACTATTTGAATTGTATAGGGTTTCTCCTTGTTAAACTTTCTGACACCTTTTCAATTTGCCTCTTTACCTTAATTCAAGGCCACAGGAAAGTAAATGCATCCTTCTCAGCCACCTACATCCACCATTCAATATTTTAAAAAGCTAAGGCACAGAGATTTGTTAGCTATATCACCTGCATTAACCACTAAAGAGAAAATGTCACCTAAATTCAATGTAGAGTAGATGTCTGGCAGAGTTAACCTTTACATGGATACTATACACGTAGATAATTGGCAGTGAAAAGAGGTATCAATTGATATCAACTCAAAACAGCCTATGTGTCAATTAGATAGCTTCAGTTTACTACTCTGCCACTGTTCACTGTATATCTCACTTTAGTCTTAAAATACAGCTCTTATCCAGAAGTTTGGAGAACAGATCAGTGCCTAAGGAAGTTCTGAGGAAAAATTGCCTGTGAACACGAAAGATGCATGAATTGCTTTTGTCTTTTCTAGCTATCTCTGGTGTTCTTAGACTCATTTGGTTATAAACATGTGCTATTGTCTCGGAAGGTCAAAAGTAATGGAAAGAACAGAGATTCTAGTGTGCCTGGAAGACATCCAAACAAATTATAGTTAGATAGATCATCTTCTCCATGTAACTGGCTGTCCAAGAGTACATTTTTTTTCTTCTAATGGCAAAAGATATGAGGATGGTAAGTCATTGAGGTTGGTGAAACCCTGGGACAGGTTGCCCCAGGGTTTCAGAGGTGGTGGGTGCCCCATCCCTAGAAACATTCAGTGTCCCTGTCAAGTGGGACAGGACTTCGAGCAACCTGACCTAGTTGAACATGCCACTGCTCATTGCAGGAAAACTGGACTGTACTATGTTTAAAGGTCTCTTCCCACACAAACTATTCTATCATTATATGGCATAACAAAAAAATCTATTGTAAAGCAAAAAACTCTTGAAACAATTTCTAAAGGAATAAAAGGTTTGCATTTCTATTTTATGCATACAAAACACAAGACCATAGCTGAGACCTATGTCTCTGAACTTACCCCTGCAATCAAGAGTTGAATCTGAATCCAAATATCTCAGCATTCCTGCTCTACCGTTAAACTCTGACTGACACTATACTACAAAACATTCCAGATTTGGGGGGTAATTTTGTTATTCTTAAACTGACATTGCAAGAATACTATGAAACTTAAGTTTTTTCTCTTCCCTGCTGCTTTCATTTGAGCTGAAAACTGTAAATCGAAAGCAAAATTTTTATTTTAATTTGTTTTTATAAACTCAAAGCACAGAGACTGTATAGAAAGAAAAAAAAGAAAAACCCAACAACAACCACCAAACACCAACACCCCACACAGTATCTTTGTCCCTTTAGAGAAGGCTTGGTACTAAGCTCAGAGGATTGGTTTCCATCTTTCACAAATGCAATTATTTTTTATTAGATACCTTGAGTTTACTTATGTTAAGCAAAGCAATAATTTGATGGTTAAGATGTATCAAGCCTACATTAGGAAACTATGTTCCAGAAAGCAGGGATATTCAGACTTCAATTTGACGCTATCATAAGAAGTAACAAATAATGCTTTATTCTGCCAGGCACACACCTTCACAGTTACTACAAAGAAAGAGCAGTGAAATGCTATAAAAGAAAGCAATGGTTTCATTTATGAGTTCTCACCCAATACCCGCAATTTACTTAACTGCGACTTCATCTTGAGGCCACAGTAAAACCACTTACCCAAAAAAATCAGAGACAGCATTCAGAATGATGAATAAA